AGTGGTGAGCCAATATGTCAGGGACGGGGGAATAGCAAGGGACCTGGAATCGACTGTGAGGAGGGTGTGGTGACCCTAGTGGTGTCTGATCAATTGAGAGGTACCCGAGATGAATTAACTGAGAGGGCAACAATGGGTGAACATGATAGTGGGGTAGGAGGAAAGAAAAAAGAAATAGAGGAAACAATAGGAAGTAAAAATTATATATAGAGAGAGGTGTAAATATAGATATGTATCTATGTAAAGCTATAAATATATAAAGATAGGTGTATATGCATATGTATGTATATATGGAGAAACAGTAAGGAAGCAGATGGACTTGGGCCTCTACCTAAATCATACCTCAGTACAAGAATGGTTTGCACTAATAATGTGGAGATGTGTGATACTCACCTCTCTGGAACGATCACTAAAGACACTGGGTGCACAGCAAGTGTGGTGAAGAAAGCTGATGGTGCATGGCTATTAAAAGGTAATAGTTACTGTCTGGAGTCTTAAAGGCTTGAAGGTAAACAAGTGGCCATCTAGCAGGGAAGCAACAAAGCCCACATAGAAGAAGCATGCCAACCTGTGTGATCATGAGGTGTTGACAGGAATAGTTATCGGAAGTTCAAAAACAAGTAATCAAACTGACGTGAAGAAACATAGGCGAAGTGGAGACCCAAAGCCCATTTGTAGGACAATTGGACAGTCCCTCACAGAAGGGCCATACAGAAGGGACGATATATCCAGGGTGCAGTAGAGCGTGGATGAAACACATAACTATGCTCTGTTTCTTTAAAATTAACTCCTCCCATGATTAAGACCTTAGTTTCAACCTCACTAATCTTGCTAGACCTGCATTGGTAAAATCAAGATCTTTCAGTGCACAAATGCAAGGTAAACCCCTTCAGAAACAGTAAGGGGAGTAGTGATTCCCTGAGGATATGGGAAGAGAGCATGCGGAAGTGGGGGGGGGGGCTGATAACAATGATGAATGTGTAACCCCACTTGAGGGAAATGAACATCAGAATTTTAGGTGAATGGATAGATTGGATGGTATAAATTATGGTTAAAAAATAACAATAATATACAATATATTAAGGGTTCGATGGAGTGGTAGGGTGGGGGAAGGAGGGGATAAAGGGGTGCTGTTATCAAGGAGTTCAAGAAGAAAGAAAATGTATTGAAAATGATAATGGCAGCTATTGTACAACTATGCTTGATCTAATGGAACTATGGATTGTTCCATTAGATCCAGTGGAGCTAATAATATCTGTAAGAGCTCTTAATAAAATGTTTTTTTTTAATGCATTGATAATTGTTGATTGGAATGCAAAAGTTGGAAACTAAAGAGGAAGACACAGTAGTTGGCGAATCTGATCTTGGCGATAGAGACAAAGCTACAGGTCGCATGATAGAATTTTGCAATGACTTCTTCATGGAAAATACCCATTTTCAATAGCACAACACATAGACTTCAGATGGAAAACACAGAAATCAAATTGACTGCATCTGGGGGAAGAGATGTTAGAGAATCTCAATATTAGCAGCTAAGACCAGGCCAGGGGTTGATTGTGGAACAGACCATCAATTGCTCATCTGTAATTTCAGGGAAAAGCTGAAGAAAATTAAAACAAGTTCACAAGCACCAAATATGATCTTGAGTCTATCCCACCTGAATTTCGAGAACATCTCAAGAACACTGAAGAACAGATTTGCTTCATTGACCATGAGTGACAGAGACTTGATGAGCTGTGGGAGGACGTCAAGACCACCACTCATGAAGAAAGAAAAGCTCAAAGAGGGTGTCCGAGGAGACCCTGAAACGTGCCTTTAATCAGAATAGCGTAGGCACATGAAGAAGTGGAATTAAATAGCTGAACAGAACAGCCGTGTGTCTGTCAAAGAACAGCAGCTC